GAATGACTGGTTTATTGTCGAAAAATCTTTCGATCCCGAAGAAGATACAAGCGAAGGTTTGATTTGAATATATTAAACACATGTATGAAATCTTATTAATGATTATATGTATTATTTTTTAATGATTATATTAGTCGAATGTATTTCAAATGTATACCTAAAGAAACGTATACCAAGAAGAAAGGTCGACGAAGAAATTTCGCCAGATAATTCCAAGTTTCATAGAGAACTGGCTTCATTGTATCAGAATATGGGTTATGAATCGACCTTTTTTTTTAGAGAATTCGTGTCGACACTACGAACTTGCTTCTTTTTTGGTAGATGACAATGGAGTCAATGTACAGTATCGCCTGCATGTTGGTGACATAATTTCTAATTATGACGAAAGTTTTGCGATTATATGATCGATCTTCAGTCATGAAAGGAACAAGCAACGTTTTGCTTTTATTGTTATTGATAGGTTCGAAATTACCAATCAGGTGAGATTAGAATGCCCGGTTTACAAGCTTCAAGATACACAAACAATCCGTCCTATAAGCGAAGTTAATACGAACAGTTCCGCGCATTTTGTTCATTGTTTCGTTGATAATGAATGCATCAGTGGTAGACATAAATTTAGGAACAATTTGTATATAAGAAACATGTTTTTCTTCAAGGCTGTATAATATTCGTTATAGCATTATTATATAATTCTAGTTTAATTTTTACATAGCTTGCAACGAAATATTCAAATATTATTTACTTTATTTTTAAAAAATTAATTGTTATATATTTATAAATTTTCGCGATATATTTACAAAATCTTTACTACCTATTTACTATTATATAATTAAAATTTACTATGCATTACCGAATTCCTTTTAAAGTTGTAACAGCTTCGATAACAACAATTTTCAAATTGGTCGATCGCCTTAAGGCGCAGTAACTGCATTAGACTAAATGATCTACCCATAGTATCTATTTCGCTACTATGTTGTCGCTAAATCTAAATTTCTGTAAAGAAATCAACTGTGCTAGTCAATAAAGTTTTTATAATCATAGATAATATATTTGTCTTCTCCGCAAGTTTATTTTGAATGCCAAGAAAGGTTTTAAACGTCAGTTTTTTATTATTTGCAATTTTTGTAAAAAATTAATTAATATTATTAAATTCATAAAATACTAAATTATACGAAATCAGTATGGTTTAATTTTTATACAATTTCTTTAAGATTTTTATATATTTAAATATCTAAATTTTTTTTCTCACGTTAAAATTTCTGTATGAAAAATTGAATTACAACAAAATTGTATGATTTTAGTATGCACCTGCCTGTGCAGTGCAAAATCTGTATGAAACCTGTACATCTTTTTTCATAGAAAATAGAGCTGATGATAGTTAGTAGCTAAGTTATCAAAGAGCAAATTTATATGATGCAAATGATGCAATAATTCTTCAATGACTTTGAAAATGTATTGATATAAATTTTCAAACTTCATAAACAATGCCTCCAAAAAATTCGTTTATTATCAGCACTTTAATTTTTTACAAATTTTACTATCTAAAATGTTACTTTCATAATAACATTGATTGCATGAGCCAGCATTATTATTGATAACCAAATTAAAAACAAACTTCTTTAATGATATTTAAGCATGAAGTTGCAACAAAATTAACATGAAATTCATTTAATAAATATACGCTGCTGCATGAACCCTTTTTGTCCGTCCTTTCTACTTGCAAAGCGTTAAAATGATCAAGATGTAATTTATCTTTATGAATACTATCTGCTGGTAAAGATATCTCATATTTTCTTACTATTTAGAGAGAGAAAATAATTAATTTCTGAATATACAAATATACATGCGTATATATATTTTAATATAAACTACTTACATAAAGCACATAACGTCGTTGTTTGTTCAATAAGTGAAAACATATTACCTAAACATCACATAATTATAATAATAAATTATAAATTAATAATTCAAAGAAAAAATCAAAAAAAAAAGTCTTCGACTTACATTCTTGAATCGTTAAAACCACCAAAAGGTAGACAAATATCACGATTGAGCTTTCCATCTTCAAATCTTTCAGGAATAAATTCTTCAGGATCCTTCCAATATTTTGGTGAATGATGGATTCCATAAATATTTATTAATATCGGAGTTTTCGGCCAAAATACATGATTTCGAAATTTAATAATCTCTGAATTTTCTCTACGTGGTAATTGATGAACCTTAATAAAATAATAATTTTTTTTTTAATAAAAAAAGATTGAATCATGTCTAAAAATTTTAAAAACCTTAATTATTACTTACCGGAGGATAAAATCTTAAGTTTTCATCCATAACCATGTACAAATATTTTAATTCTCCTGATATACTATGATAATCTATGATTGGGGTTAAATCATCGCCAAGGACGCGTAACATTTCATCGCGAACTTTTCTTTGCACACATCCTTATTCAATAAAGGCAAGATTCAAATTAATAAAAAACAAAAGAACAAAAGATTATTAAAGTACAAATTCTTAAATACCTTGCGGGTGGCTAAGACATATAAGATGGTTGTCAAAGCATTAGCAGCTAATTTCATTATTAAAAAAAAATTTGATAATAAAAAGTTTTAAGTTAAGTAAGATAAATAAAGATATAGAATAATTAAAAGTTCTTTCATACTAGTATCATGACCAACCAACATAAACATTGCAGCAAGATTGTTCTATAAAACAAAGGAGCTTACTAATAAATAAATTTTCCAAAAAAAAAAAAAATTTGTTCTACAATTCTTACTCGCATTTCTTCGTTTGACATGGGATTTTTTGGATCGCCAGAAGTGTACATCATACAATCTAAAAAATCAGCGGTATTATTATTTATTTTTTTATCTAATTCTTCCGTTTCCATTGATTTACGTTTTTCTTCAATAATTCCATTATATAATTCATTAATCTTTGCAGCTTTTTTAAGTGCTTCAATTCGATTAAAATATGGAAGCTTTTCAATGAATGGCATAAGATTATATATCGGTTTATCACATTCGGCCGTTACTTCTTGATAAGTAGTAACATAGACATTTGTTGGATCTTCAAGATTCTATTTAATATCAATTAGGGATGCTAATGATTACGGTCATGACCGGTCATAGTCATAACCGATATCGGTCGGTCAAAGGTTTCTGACCGACCGATTTTGACCGATTTTGACCGACCGTTTGATCAAATATTT